AGGAAATCAATTGCACGTTTAAACACAATTACACAGATCATATGGTCAGAAAAACAAAGAAATTCAGTTGCTACATCCTACATGGTAAAGAATAAATGAAAATGTAATTAAATTTTGAACCATGTAGTGATGTAGACGAGCTCTGCAAACGAAGATTTCGAAGGACCAAAGCCGAAAATGGGAATATTTTTGAAATAGGTGCATCACAAGAACCAAACCACTTTGAGTCCAATTAATTGAGTGATAGTTTTCATTTGATTCTTTCGTCCTTTTTCTTTTTGATCCAAGAAATAATTGAAGTATGGTATTAACAGCAAAGCTGAGGAAGAAAATGACGTGGACTTGTATCGTCAGATTTTTGTCATGGAACCAGAAAAGCTACATTAATGTCTGAAACATTTTTTTTGGTTCAAACATTAATGTCTGAAAGTATTGTTACTTTATAAGTTTGTTTTACTTCTCTTGGGGTTGAGAATTATAAGACAATGTTTTCATAAAATGGTACAAACAACTGAACAAGAGATCCATTACAATAAAATGATTTTGCAAAATGAACCCCAACATTATGATGATAATTACAAATCTTCCACCATAATTTATATCTGAAGTCAAAACAAACCTAAGAAGACTGTGAGTGGCTCATCTCGATTGAAATGAAAGAAACGAGGGAGAGACATAGACTCTCTCTCTCTCTCTCTCTCTCTCTCTCAATTACTGTACATACAAATGTTTGTGATCAAGCGTTGATTTCGGAGTTGCATTGATTCTCTCTGCTACAGCTTCTTCTTCCCCAGAACATGCTTGAGCAAGTTGTAGTTTTCCCAAGTCTTTGCCCTTCTTCAACCTTCTCCTGATCAGTTGTTGCCCGCGGAGGAGACGAACCGTCGTGTTCTTCGCTATGTCTCTCTGTTCCATGAGTCTCAAAGTTCGGACAAGTCCCATCGCTGCAGGTGCACATTGGAATGTTGACTGAAGGGAAGGGGCTACATGTTACCGGACAGAACATATCAGATGAAACCGAGGTAGCCCGGGTCTTGCTACGCTGTTGCTGTTCTGTTGTCGGCGATGACTGATCTGTTGTATCTCCCGTGTGAAGCATACACGGAGCGCAGAACCCGAGTGACATTGGTAACTTCATTTCTCTGGTCAGTGAGCTTGGGAGCCGTTTAAACGACACTATACCGTGCCTGCACAGAGGACAAGGGATTGACCCGGGCGGGTTAACTGTCACCGAGGGAACACTGCTCGATGAGCAAAGATATAGCGCACATTTCACACATAGCTGATGCTCACAACCTGAAACACAAATCCCGTTTTTAACTCACAGGACATCATCATCTTTTAAAAAGGATGCAAGAGTTTAGACCAACCTTCAGCAGCAACAGTGCATGTTCTCTCCAGGCAAACCGCACATATATCAACCTCTTCTGTGATGGTTGCGGACTGCAACCCGAACTCTCTGCAAACAATTAGTTAAGGCCATTGTCTTGGAGTCTTTTAAAACTTGTTGAAGGTTTTTGGTCATTACCTTGCAATGTTAAGTATACTCAAAAGGGGCAATGATAAGTAGTTGGAATGAGGAAACCCTGGGATGACCACATCCGAATTCGGAGAAAGCAACGGTTCTAACCAATGGCGACTCCACATCCGTGCTATGTCAATAGGTAGCCACCTACAAACATTTTTTTTTGGGAACGGAAAGTTTCCATTCTGAATATGTCAAATATTTCCCCCTAAACTGGTTTTGAACATGAGACAAAACACTGACAAGATTGTGATGGAATAATTTACCCATTGCAGTTCAATGTCATCTTTCTTGCACCTTTTGCAAGGAGAATCTATCGAGAACACACGTAAAAATGGAGATTCTCAAAACTCTTTGTCTCGAAAATACTGAAAGAAAAGGATTAAGTTTGTAGTGTCCTTACCTGACAACATTTCAGATTCCCACCACAAGCGGCGTAATGCAAAGGCGTGCTCCCTGCTCCTGAAACGATGATTAAGATAAGACAAAGATTGTCATCTTTGGGCGAAATTTTTTTTTAAAAAAAAAAATTCTTTTAGTCAAGAGAAAACTAGTGGATAGAGAGAGCTCAGACCAATCATATCCATTGATGTTCCATAATGAAATGTCACAGCGGAAACATTGGCTTCAAGATCAAGCAAAAGCTGCACACAGTCAAACAATCCATTCAAGGCAGCCATGTGAAGAGCTGTGATTCCACCATCAGCCGCCTTATTCACAAATTTAGACAATGCGCTGCACAACAAGACATTTTTTTTTGCTTTAATTGGAACTAACATAAGCTGCCAAAAGTCAAAACCCTTACAACACATAGAAGATGGTTTCCAAGTAAAAAAAACCTTTGCTCGGACTTGTTCCTGGGTGTGACCACACCAGTCTCAGGAAGAGAGTTAAGTTTCTCACTAGGTACAAAGTCTGCCAAGACCAGTCTAATACACCTGGCGTGACCATTGACAGCGGCGAAATGAAGCGCTGTTCTTCCAGCTAAATAATCAGCTCTTGTAACCTTTGAGAAAGATTCAGACGATATTCAGAGACTGATCTGAATCAAAACTGTATAGTTTTGTTTCAACTACTGATGAAAACAACTCACATTGCATCGAAACAGCAGAAGAGTTTGCACGACTTCCCAGTGCCCGTATCTACAGGCTTGCATCAATGCCGTCTGAAACAAGATTAATTAACCCAACTTAGCATATTATTGTCTTTTGCTGTAATTGATAGCTTGTTGGATTTTCAACTAATAAATCGAATTTGTTTGCCATATTGATTCGCTATCTCTCGTCAAGCATGGATCATATAAACAAAATCACATTTTTACACTATTAGCTCAAAACTTAGCCAAAGATTCCACAAGTTACTTCTACTGAAACAAAAATCCCTTGGATCAAATTGAGATACAATACGTCTAATCGAAAGAATCGAACTTGAATTCACGAATCAGCTCAGTACTAGCCAAAGGCTCAACATTTGTTCAAATCCTAAAAATCCAGCTCAGAAAACTGAATCTCGAGTACCTGGCCGCAATAATTTCTCGAATTCACATCGGCTCCGTTCTCGAGCAACAATCCGACGATCTAAAGATGTACAAAGAGCAAAAAAAAAAGTCAGGAAGATTTTGCGGAAAAACAAATTAGAAAGGAAAGGAAACCTCGTTATGGCCTTTAGCGGCGGCGAAATGCAACGGAGAATTGAGACCACCGAAGGTAGAGTACTTGGCGAGGCAAGGATTGCAATCGAGTAGCATCTTCGCCTCCACGTAATCACCATCTCTCGCCGCCGACACCAATCGCTCGCCGGAAGCCGAACATCCAAACGAATTCCCCATTTCTCTCTTAGTCTCTCTCTCTCTCTTCTTCAGATGAGAATCCTCTCTCTTAATCTCAAATTCAATTGGATGTGACGATAAATTAGGTCAACCGTCGTGGAAAGTTACAGAGAGGAAAGAATCCGGGATTAGATATGATACTGAAACAGCACGCGAACTCTCTCTCTCTCTCTCATTTTGTCCGTATGAGACAAAAAGAAAGACAAGGAAGATGCAGCCGGAACATAACCTGAATTTCCTATTTTATCCCTAAATTTTCCCCCATTGCTTCGTCGACTTCCACTTTCACTTGTCCCACTCAGCCCACGTGGCGGGTTTTTAATTCAATTTCGAGTTTTCTTCTTTTTTTTCTTTAGCAATCTTTAATAATGCAAAGTATTTTTTGTTGAGAAAGATTACTGGATGATACATAAAATTTATTTCGACAAAAAGGACGATCTTTATTTTTATAAATTGAGCTATTCATTTGCTTTACTTAGTACGTTGTTTGTTATCTATATAACAATCTGATGTCGATTATTACATGCAAGCAATTTTCTCATATATAGACTGTATATGTTTTTACTTTGATCTGTCAATCATATTCATTTACTCTACAAGATAATGTCATTTGAAATAAAATCTTTATTAAAATTTTACAAAAACAATCATACGGCTTAATGTGAAATTATACCATTTAGAGCCAGTAATAATATCAAAATTTAATATGGAAACATAAACACTGTTAATTTGTTATTTCTTAAAGATCAACATATTAGTATGGTTTATAAAAAATAAAGTTCAAATTCCAAACAATAACGACAGAAAAAGGCCATGAAGCTTCAAACGGAGGTTCAAGCTCATCGAAAGAGCATTTTGGATATTCGTTTAAGAATTAGAGATCATACAATCAACCAGATAATTCGGATTCGTGACCACGGCTTGGTTGGTGATGATCTTTCTAATCCGCATGGCATTATCGTGAATCCACACGGCAAAAGTTGGATGCGATCGTTGATTCTATGGAAGAGTGGATTATCATTGCTGCTGATGCTTCAAAGTATGTTTCTTGAACCAGACAACGCTCGTTAGGACCATTGCGCTGCAATATATATATATATATCTACATAAATGACAATGCCAGTATAAGGTATATAAATAAAAATTACTAAAGTATAACAGATATCTATATTTGTCTTTTTGAATTCATTATATTCAAAGTAAAAAAAAAAAAAAAAAAACATTAGTTAAACATCATTTCTTGCAATTATACTTTCGTATATTTTCTTGGAACAATGAACATTTTGAACTCCACCCAAACGATCGAATGAAGCCTTCTTTAGAACTGCAAACAAATAGTTTTATGTCCACATGAAAAACTAGCGTGAAAGGCAAATCCCCAGCGCATGTTAGCTCCGCCGTGACGCAGTGTGCGATAGACGATGCAACTCCGTTACTCCTTTTATGCGAAGAATACGCGTCCCACAAAACGAGTACAACGTATTACACGTGTAATTACTTGATTGGGTAACAGAAACCCACTTTCTCACCCACTCTCAAAATTAAGGTTTTAAGTTTTAACCCTTTCTTACCCGCCTTCAATCGCAAAACCCAAAAAAAACCAATAAACAATTTACAGAGAGAGAGAGAGAGAGAGAGCAATCAGTAATGGCCGTAGGAGATGATCTGGAGAACCGAATGTCGGCGAAGGATCGAGGGATCGGAAGCAGAGGCGGTGATCGGAGTGGAATCGGACCGCCGCCTAGGCCGGAACCGTTGGTCTATGGCGATGACGCGTTTTCGTCGCAGTGGACGTCGTGGCTGGTTCCGATGTTCGTTGTGGCTAACGTGATAGTCTTCATCGTCGCCATGTTCGTCAATAACTGCCCGAAGCATCCCGAGTCCCATGGTCCCAACCGGCACTGTGTCGCTCGTTTCCTGGGGAGACTCTCCTTCGAGCCTCTCCGGATTAATCCTCTCTTCGGTCCTTCTTCTCGCACGTAAGTTTCACCCGGATTTTAGCCGAACTGGTATCGATGTTGATTTAGGGTTCTTCCTGCTGCTAAATCGCCGTTTTGGTTCTGTTTCCCGAAATTTTGTGGATCCTCATTATGTCGGTTACTATGATTTATCAACGAATTTTGAATTAGCTACTCTGTAGATCAGATTCGAATTCCCATTGAATTTTTAGGTGTAGAATGATTGAGCTATGTGAAATATGTGTTAACATTTATGTTTTGATTCATACTTGAAGATTGGAGAAGTTAGGATCACTCGAGTGGGAAAAAGTTGTGGAGAAGCGTGAAGCTTGGCGTCTCCTGACATGTATATGGTTACACGCCGGTGTTATTCATCTCGCAGCGAATATGCTAAGCCTCGTCTTCATCGGTATTCGCCTTGAGCAGCAATTTGGTTTCGGTATGCATTCCTTCTCCTCCGTAATCACTTTGAAAAGATTGTCATCAAGCTCTGTAATTTGTCATCATTAGGAATCTGAAAACTCGGTACTGGATTTGCAGTTAGGATAGGATCTATCTACGTATTATCAGGAATGGGAGGAAGCATAATGTCGTCGCTGTTTATCAGAAACGGTATCTCTGTTGGAGCTTCTGGTGCTCTCTTTGGTCTCCTTGGCTCAATGCTCTCCGAACTTCTCACCAACTGGACAATCTACTCTAACAAGGTAAGCAATCTTTAACCTACAGATAGGTACGATGAGACTATGTGGTTTCGGGTTAATGACTTTGGTTTTGGTACAGATTGCGGCACTCTTGACGCTTTTGTTTGTCATTTTGGTAAACCTGGCCATTGGGATTCTACCTCACGTTGATAACTTTGCTCATGTGGGTGGGTTTCTATCGGGGTTTCTCCTCGGGTTTATTCTACTGGCTCGTCCACAGTTCAGGTGGTTAGCAAGAGATCATATGCCACAAGGCACACGTCTGACTTCCAAGTACAAGCCTTACCAATACCTGTTGTGGCTCCTATCTCTGGCTCTGTTGATTGCTGGGTAACAGTTTGCATTTGCCGAGAATCAATCGCTCTTGTTGTTTCCCCAATGTAAGAAGTTATGCTAAGGTTTTATGGGGTTTGTGCAGGTTCGTGGTGGCTCTGTTGATGCTATTCCGAGGAGAAGACGGGAATGATCACTGCCGCTGGTGTCGCTACCTGCGCTGTATTCCCACCTCGAGATGGAGTTGTGAGGGCGTCTGATAAGTAAGCAGTATGTTTTACTTTGTAAATGGCATAGATCATATAGGTATCATTTCCTCCGATAGTGTGTTTCAGGAGATTGCTTGTGGTGTGTACGTGTGACTGTCTTTTTACCGGGGGAAAAAAAGGAAGATAAAAAATCATTTGTTTAATAGGAAAAGTTTATCAAATCAACCCACATTGATCTAAGTTGTGATTCCCACGTCTTGACTTGACATCACTACAAATTATTGAAAGTTTTTTAATCTGACAAGTGTGGACCCTCTATCGATACACGTAGCTTGCTGGTACCATATCTGTACCGTAGAATCCAGTCAAAACAAAATACAGAGCAGAGATTGATCACTGTCTCTGTACTTTTGTGTCGAAAATCTAATTTACACATTTCACTTGCCTTTATATCCTTACGACTATTAAAACAGGATAGGATCAGAGCTGAGAAACGAAGAATACATCTTCGATTTCTCACTTTGGTTTTGACTCGACTGATCAGAAACTGCACCGTAACCTGCGATCCCATTATCCGAACGATGATCAAACGATCGCTCTGCAGCCGCCGTGTAGTAGTAATACTGTCCCTGCACTGACCTCTTGTAGCCACTCTCGGAAGACAACTCTTGTAGCCTCTGTCTCGGGGCGCTTTGTGACCGGACTTTTGCTCTGTAAGACTCAGTGTTAGCCATGTAGTTAGGGTGATACCCGGAGTAGTACTCGTACTCGCTTCTCGTAGGGGTGAACGGCGTTCTTCTCCTTGAACCGCCGCTGCTGCTTCCTGGTCTAGACCTTACCTGTGGACTGTTATCAACACTTGTCGGGACCATAAGGGATCCTCTTTTCCTCGGTGACTCCTTGTGGTAGGAAGGCAAGTGAGGCTTCCAAGTGTCGACCTCTAGGATCTTGTCATCATCTTCGTTGTAGCGCGGTGCGTTCCATAGAGTTTCATCTGTCCTCCATTGGTCTAATAGCCGCCTCGAACCCATCTGGGAACGGTGGTTGTGGTGGTGGTCCATGGCAATGACTTTGCTGTATTCAGCCTCCGATACGCATCGTGCGTGGAAAGATTGTGGGGAAGAAGGAACCGTTAACATTGTCGAATGGAATGAGTCTAGAACGTGAGAAGAACGTGATGCTCGGGCGCGAGCTTGGAGCCGAACCAGCGTTTGCATCCGACGCAGCATATCAGCCGTCTGTTTCCTCACTATGTGTCCCTTCACTAACGCTTGAAGCTTCACTAATGCCTTCAATGCTCTTAACGCCCTCCTCGCCTAAATTTATAACAATTTTATTATACATTTTAGTTATTATATAAAACACCTACTTCAAACCCAAAGTAGATGCAAGAAAAAAATGACAAGAGGAATATTAAATCTACGTTGAAGTTCCCCAACTACTTTCATTTATTCTAAATGGTTATACACATGATTAGTTTTCGAAGCAATACGATTACAGAATCTCTAAATTTTGTTTGTTTGAACTTTGAACCACGTAAACTATCAAATCATCATTTGAAGAAAAAAGGGACAAATCAACATTTAGAAAAAAAGGTTGCAATGTTGATAGTGGAAGGTAAGAGAAAAGATGCAACTTTCAAGCTCATAAAGCTTAAAAACCCATCTGTAGTTCCACTTTTTTCAAGTAAACGTAAAGTGATTAAAAAAAACAAAAGAAAGAACTTGACCTCTTCTTAAAATGTGTTGGTTATGGTTTAATCGAAGGATTGGTTTTAAAATTCTGAGTTTTCGTACTCGTAGATTATAGGATAAGCCATAAAGCTAAATCCGGTTGGTAAGAATTTGTTTTGGATGATATGTGCATATTTTTGGGACCAAAATGGGAATTTTAATCTATAGTACTCGAAGACCATTAAATAGTGTCGGTAGAGAATCGTATCGGGTTCTAACAAGTTTCTTGGTTGCATATTCATTTGTCTCTTTTCATAGTATTTTTCGGGGACCAATACAAGAATACAAAATATGCTCATCCTTTCTAATTTTCAGTAATTATTTAAATTTAGGGTTAAGTAGAAGAATCAACATCAGACAGCTATTCCACACTCGATTTTTTTTTTTTTCCAAAACAAAATAAAGATTCAAATTTTGAATTTCGGTTTTAAAGATTAAGTTAGGGAAGTAACTAACCAAGTAGCCACGGAAAGCTGATTGAATTTTCACCGCCGCTACATACTCTTGAGCCCACCGGCGATTATTCCGATTGATTTTGGTTACCGACGAGGTTTTACCGCCGCCTCTTCCGGTGAGCCTCACGACCTCCGCCGCCGCATGAGCAGCCGCTAGTGCCGCCTCAGCCACCGCAGCGGTGGCAGCCGCGACGGCTATCGCATGCTTCTCGGCGTCCAAGCTTTCTTCATCCGCACATCTCCTGCTTGGATGTGAAGACGGCGCCGATGAAGCCGTCGCCGGATTTGAGGATCTGGTGGTGGTGAAGCTCCATTTTCGTCTGTTGTTCTTTGTAGTTGCTGATTTCTCTTGCTTCTTACTCCCGAACAGTCGTCCGAAGAAACCCATATTTACTTCATCGCCAGAAATCACCTCAAATTTTGTCGGAATTTTTTTTGTTTTGTTTTGTTCACAAAGTCTGAAAAAACAAGAAAGCAGAGACAATTGGGAATGGAGAAGCTCGAGTGAGCGTGTAATGTGCGATATATAGTGTAAGCTTACACGCGCCTAAATTATGCGCGTTGGTTGCACGCCTTACATAAAAGCATATTATGTATTTTGACCAAGCGTCAATTTAAGTCAATGGTGTCTATGGCTCCGGTCCACTCCAAACCAAATCTCTGGTTTGGTTCAAACGAACTAATCATTCTTCTTTTTTTTTTTCTTTTTCTACTAGCATCATTTTACTTTCTCATTGTGATTAATTATCTATTGGTAGTTTTCAGTTTTCAAATTTGAAATCAAAATTTGAATTGAGTTTTGCCTGAAGTTGCATGTGTAAAAATACCACGCCGATTATCATAGCAAGTCTCTATAATGATGCCAAATTGCCAATTACAGAAAATACTCCAATAATAAATAGTAATAATGGTGAAAACGATATTCAATATGTGTCATCATAAGTATTGAACAAATCAACAAACCGAACAACAGATCAAATTCAGAAAAAACACCCAACAGTAGATTTCTCATTATTTTTTATTGTTTTAATTTGCTCGTCTTGTCTTTTGCAGACCAAACTCCCCAAATCCTCGGAACTGACCGTTGCTGAAACTATAGGCACTTATATGGTTATACCTGCACAGTTCACAAAACACAGTCCACACAAAAAAAATAACGACAAAATCAAACACTATTGACTAAATAGTGGAACTACAAATCTATCATTTCATTCAAATATTATTAAATAGATAATCTAAAAATCTATTTTCTAATAAAAAAGTAAAGGTTTAATGGAATGATCATCATACCACAGTCAAATGAGGGGAGATTACAAAGAGAGGTAAGTGTGGTGGCTGCTCGAAGAGCGTTACATAGACAATCTTTGTTAGTTGATTGGAGAGCAGTGCAACAATTGGAGTTCGGGGCTGGATTGACCGCACCAGGCAGAACCAACGATGCGCACACCTGCATATTACTCAGATTGTCTCTACATTCTTGGGCTTGAACTTTAGGTGCGGTCTCTAAAGCCCTCATGGTTAGAAACATCACAATGAAAATAGCTGCAAAAGATTTGAGAGATTCCATTTTATTTAAATGCTAGCGATATTATTTTATGTTCTGTTTTTAACTTTTGGATCGGTGGATTCAGTCTATATTTATATATAAAAATATATATAGTATTGAGTTTTGAGCTCTAAGAATAATTAGGTCATGAAGTGATGCTTTCTATGATCTTGGTCTAGTTACTTCATAAGTTTTGCATGATAGAAACTGCTAAAAGCTAGGGGAAAATAATAACAAAGCGTGTGACGCTATGATTTTTTTAAAAATAAATTAACTAATAAAATTAAATTTTGACTTATTATTGTTAATCAATTCTTTTAAATCATTGTTTTTTTGGAAAAAATAATAATATCGTAAATGACATGAGGAGAGCTCTTCCTAAATTGTAACCCAAATAAACATACAATTACTAACTAACTATGAAAAGTTAAAAACTCATGAACCAAAATATTGTGGTAATACTGAGATGAGTTAATATCATTACTGACCACAGCTTGATCTCGTTAATATGAGTTAATATATCGTAAATAAAGAATACCGCAAACTTGATCTTGTTAATATGATTCAATAAAAGTTTGTTCTTTAAAAATGTGTCTTTACAATGTTTGGTACATTATTAAAATAATTTAAAAAAAAGTTTTTACTATATTTTTGTTAGTATATATATATATATATATTATCCGATTAACAGTCTAAAATTTTTTACAGTGAAATACAAAAGTAACAAACAAAGAAAATTCAGCAAAAAAATAATTCTTTTATGAAAAACGGAAGTAGTGTATACTACTTTGGTACGAAAGAGCCCCCAAAAACAAAAATTGGCCCTTAAATCCCACGAGAAGCAACATTATTGGGCTGGGCCTATTTTGAAATGGTTGATGGATGTCTTTGTCCGTAAGCTGTTGCTCTGAGTCTGACACAGAAACTCATGTGGTCACCACCAGAAAGTGACTCGTGTTCCAGTGCTTTGTTACCACTACTACAGGTGGATTAGATACTGGAACTTGCCATTTGTCGCTGCAGAGATTTTGTTTTCTTTTCACAAAAATAAGAAGCACTACCAAAGTTATTGGACTATATAGGCCCGATCGGTTTTTGAGCATAAACTTGTGTAAAAAAAAGAGCAGTGTTTTAATTCTAGTTACAATATCATCTTTGATTTTTAGTTTTTTACCATTGACATTGATGTAGATGGATTATCTGTATTGAGAATAGGGACAACCAAACTGATACAGAACATCGATTATAGAACACAAACAAGAAATTAATAATTCCCAAAAAAATGTGGGAATCATATAAATATATATTATATGTATGTGTGATTACTGATGATGAGACATAACAACAATACCATTAGCTGTCACTCTTTTATTTATTATTATGATCTATGAATTTTATTTTATTTTATTTAAATAAGATTGCAACAAAAAATAAAAAAATTTACTTCCCTTTGTTCAGACGTTTCTTTATTCTTCTTCCTTCTTCTTCTTGATCGTGTTCAGAAATCATATTCATCGCAACTTTTTATACCTTTCTCTCTCTATCTATCTCTGAATTGGATTCTTTATAACATGTGAGATCTCTGTTCGATCAGGGACGAGTAGAAGCAAAGAATATTAAAGAATGATGAAAATGAAGACAGGAGCGACGCCCTCCGTCAGCGGCGGCGGCGGCAGCGGAGGTAGCGGCAATGAGTGGGAGTCCCGACCTGGAGGAATGGTTGTACAAAGGCGGACGGATCAGAGCTCCGATGTGCCACGTGTCATTCGTGTCCGGGTCAAATACGGGTCGGTTTACCACGAGACCAACATCAATTCTCAATCTTCCTTCGGTAAGCAAAACCAAAACCAAAAAATCCAAATTCAGTTTTTCGGCATTTATAAGCAGAAGGGTCAATTTTTTTTTTTTCCCAATTTGTATTCTGTTTGATTATTGTTGCAGGAGAGTTGAAGAAAATGTTGTCCGGTCAGACCGGACTTCACCACGAAGACATGAAGATTCTGTACAAAGACAAAGAGAGAGATTCGAAGATGTTTCTAGATCTTTGTGGAGTTAAAGATCGATCAAAGCTTGTTCTTAAAGAAGATCCAATTTCTCAGGAGAAACGTCTTCTTGAAAAAAGGAAAAACGCCGCCATTGAAAAAGCTTCTAAATCAATCTCCGACATCAGTCTCGAAGTCGACAGGCTCGCCGGTCAGGTAATGTAGAAGAACAACAACAAAAAACAGAACTTTTTTTTTTTCCGGCGACGACTCTGTTCTCAAACTTCCGCCGTTTCTAGTTCGAATCTGAGGTTCTGATTTCCGATTATAGGTGTCGGCGTTCGAGACAGTGATTAATAAAGGAGGAAAGGTTGAAGAGAAGAGTCTGGTGAATCTGATTGAGATGTTAATGAATCAATTGTTGAGACTCGACGCGATAACTGCTGATGGAGATGTGAAATTGAAAAGGAAGTTGCAGGTAAATTATACCTAAGTTCAATTCGAAATCTCTGATTTTGATTAGATTAATCTATAATAATGTATGATTTGGTTCGATTGGATTTTGGAAGGTGAAACGAGTTCAGAAGTACGTTGAGGCACTCGACGTCTTGAAGGTCAAAAACTCTACCAAAAAAGTGGAAATCAACAAGTCGGTACGCCACAAACCGCAAACGCAAACGCAATATCAGCAACGCGATTTGTTATCGTTTGTGGAGGAAGACGAGGAGGAGGAGCGGAGGAATTCCGGCGCATCCTCATCAGGTACTCCGGCGATTGTTGCTAATAATTGGGAGACGATGTTTGATTCCACATCGGCGGCAAAGGCGGTCGAAACGGTTAAACCGGTCCCTCCAAGATTCAAATGGGAATTCTTCGATTAAGCTAAGAAAAACACTATACATATACATATGATCAAAGGTGTTTTTATTATTTCATTCTCCGATTTCATAAGTGATATGTATTGTTTTTCATATTGATAGGAGTGTATGATTTGTGATTGATCTTGGCAAACTTTTTTTTTGCTTCTTTTGCGGATTGTTTAGAATATCTTTTGTCGGTCTCCCGTTTAAGTCAATTCACAAATGACAGGGGAGTTTCAACAAATAGAGTTTCATCATCATCATCGTCATCGTCCTATCATTGTAATGTACCTAAAGATTTGGGATTTCTTTACTATTACAATAAAAGTTACCAAAAAGTTGCAACATTTTTATATAAAATACTGTTTCTTGTAGGTACATCTTGTGGATTATTTGCATTCAAAAAAAGATCTTATGGGTAAACTTCACATTATATTCACTTCACTTCACTCATTTGTATAAAAACTGAAAAGGATAAACTCCAACGTAAAATATTCCAAATGTACATCAAAATCTAGTTGATAAAAATGGAGACATAGTTTTTGAATGTTTATGTGTTCAGTGGTGAATGATCGTATGTGGTGCATCATTTACAATCATCATTGTTTTGTTTTTAATCAAAAAAATTACCATGAAAAACATAGCAAGGGCCGGTAGTTTTTTATATATAAATTTCTCTTTTCTATGAATTTTATTGATAAATTCGTATAGTTTTATCGATTTGAACAATTTTGTATGAAAATAACTATTTTCATCATTTTAAAATCTTGAAATGAGTTAGTGTTTTCTTTTATTATATATTTTATATCGTAGTACTAGTAATCTTGATAGTTTGTATAGTTAACTATTCTGGTTGTGTTGTTCGTTTGATCCTCTTGTTATGCATCGAATTAAATAGTCAAACCCATAAAACCGAAGCAATGAAATGTACAAGAGAAGAAAAAAAAAAACAAGAAAGCAAAGGAGGCATGTTGGTAACACATGCCAATCATAACACTGAATATGTTTCTTGTGGAATTGGCAACTTATGGTGACCAAAATTATATTCATTGCTTCCTGTTAAGGCTACAAAGTCCATCGAGCGAGAGAGAGAGGGAGAGAAAGAGGAATCTTTGGGATAACTAAATACCTAATCCAATAATCTATTGACATGAGAAAAGGCCAAGTACAATAAAGTTCATCAAGGAAATGATTTAGGATTTAGTTAATCATATTGTTATTATTTTTAAAAGCATATTCAACAAATGTTACAGAATTTCAGATTTTTTTAATATGATTAAGCCTTTTTGGTAACCAATAAGAATTAATTAATGAATGATTATAGGATACATCAAATCATTTATTGCGACATGATTGGTATCCAATAAGAACAACTTTCTTGCGTTCTATATCACAAAGATTTGGCATGGCTCTAAATGTTTTCTTGACACCTATTTTTTTGGATGAGCAATAAAAATTAGGAAACATTACCTTGAGATTTTGCTTTCTACAACTCGTGGCTCCTCGGAAAGAGTTGGAGTACAAAATAAGGATGTTTATTTTTCAGATCTTTCATACTTTGCAGTTCTACGGCTTAAAGTATTAGTGTTAATGTATGGCATAAAAAAGAAAGGATTTACCAAAATGTGAGAGATATTAGGTTGAATTGAATTCAAATTATATTTAACTAAAACTTGGCAAATTATCGATTCCAGTCAAACGTTTATTATCTTTTTTTTTTTTTAATTACCATGCTAAGTTATCGTTTATTATCTTTATTCGACGTAAATGCATGTAAGCCCCCTTATATAAAGAAGAGAATCCGAGCTCTGTCGTCATCACTTACAATCTAGATCATTTGTAAACCACATAAAACAAAGACACCTCAACATTGAGAAGTATACGAGACGATGAAATAGACTGAACTATAAGAGTGAAAACATCTTCGGATGCTACTTTCTTTATTTTCCTCTCCTTCCTCCACGAAGAAGCTGCGTCCGATTTGACCGTTGCAGGATATGCCGCCAAACGGTAACTCCGGGAAGTTCTCTAGAAACGGTGAGATGTTTGCGTTTGGACGACCAAAGAAGGAGTCGCCGCGTCCGCTACCGGCAAAAACAAAACCTCCAACGACTTCCGTTTTGTTCGGCTTGGACTCGAGGTTTCTAAGCTGAGAAGAAACAGCAGCCAGTGATGCTTCAGCCACTTTGAGATCAGGAAAGTAAACTTGGAAACAGTCTCCCGTTCTGATTCCGGCACCGTCGACTGTAAGATACTGTTCGTCCGCTCTGAGTAAACAAACCAACAAAAAATAGGGTTAAAAGGAATTCATATTCATTCATGTTATATGAGACCTGTGAATCTTTACCCAGTCACTTGATGAAATGTAAGTGAGGCCATCATCTTTGGCTTCTTCTCCAAACCAGTCGAGTATTTTCTTCGTTTTACTACTCCAATAAACGGCTCATTCTCCCAGCTCGGGTTTCCCACCTGCATTTCAAGTTAGTTTAGTAACCAAAAACTCCGCAAAGATTTGCTTCCGGTGCGTACCAAAGTCTCTTCTATGTTCTCTAGGATTTGCTCGCCATTGAGAACCTCTGCTTCTCCTCTTCTTTTTGCATTCAGAAGTGTCGCAGGCCATCTATAAAGAGTAAGAATGACATTGGCTGCCTTGTATCTCAGATCGACCGGTGACATTCCTCCTGATATTGCAGCGTGAAACTGAATTCTTCCAGCCTCTGCTTCATTGAGAAACGCTTGGGTAAAGCATAACATCACAAGAAAAATGCAGAGATAACTAACCAAGCAAAGTAATGACAAATTGATAGTAGCATATTAGTTTTAAGTAGATGATATTAAAACCACAGACACTTACGAATGGGTCTGTGTCTATCTCTTGCAAAGACTAAACCTGCAAGAACTCTGCTCTCGTCTCTTTGTAACTGAACACATCTTGATTCATTGGCACGTTTATGTACAAGATCGCCCTGTCCCTTTAATTCACCCACAATAATAGTTTCTGCGGGCATGTCATAATCTGCGATGCAGACAAGTTACATTACACATAACAACAAAATAATGAAATGATCATCTGCTTTGTGTTCTAGAGTTCAGTCTCAAATAAGTAACTCATGAAGCCAAATTTCTTTCGTGTTTCACCAATTTAACCTGTCACAAAGTAATATCGAAATAAAAAAATGGACTCATACCCAGTTTTTGAATGATAGGTTCCGTGGCATGAGTATCCTCCTACAAATCCAGCATGGAGACAAAAAAAAAAGCATTAGCATAGAAGTGAACACAGTCCACAAGTTCAAACAGAAGTGGAAGCCAAAAAGTATACTTCACCCCAAAGAGTATAAGACAAGCTGGTGCAGTATGATCTGAAACCACGGACACAAAGTTCCTGATATCCATCACAAATTTGTCTCCAACTGTCGCCTCAGATTCCTGCAAAGATATAAACAATACCACTCTTATCTATAAATAAAAGTATAATGATACGAAGTATGTATATGGGTACCCATATACATACTCTTAGATTATCATACTTAGATTCCTGCAAAGATATAGTTTTTGTTCTTCATGCTACGAACATTGATGCTGAGAAACACTTACCCCTATCGCTTGAATAGCAGGAATAACGTCGACTTTGAATCCTGGCAAGTAGCCGATCGTCAACAGTATAGCAAAATTCGGAACGGGCGAGACATAAACAGCATACGGGTTGATCTGTAAACGTGATATAAGGTGAGCATATGCTAAAATTTTACAAGAAAAACAAAATTCAAACAGGATAGGAAAATAATCGAACCTCTACAAGCTTCTCATTACGCGCTTCTTTTCCCAAGATTCCAGCAACTAGAGATACAATAACAGGAACCCTTGATCCCACTCTCTTCGTTATCTACAGCATTCGCATTTTCAATGGAACTTTTAATCCTTTTGGGAATAAAGAAGAAAAAAAACAGAGGTTGAATGAAGAGAAGAACCGTACCTGTCTCAAAGTTTCTTCCACGTTCCCGTATGAGATGTTTGCAATCACAAAATCTGGCCGGATTGGCTCAGACAAGACCTTATCAAGTACTTCTTCTCCAGCTCTCTGTTTTTCCAAACAAAATTTGTGTCATCTTCAGCAGAGAACACGTACAATTAATCAAAACCGAAAACTTTATCCCACACAATTTCTCTAACAGACCTTTCTCATTTCCTTTTTTCTATCAGCTAATGACTTTATCACAATCTGTGCTTATCAATTAATACTTACGAGCTTATCAGGGTTTCTAGAGAAAGCAGAGATCATTTTGGGGCGAGAGAGGATGCGATTGCAGACGCAGTTCCAAGATCGGCTAACACAGGAAGCGGAACCAAATGATTGCGCCGGCAACCTCAAGAGAATGTTATGGAGAAGGTCGTCGTTCATGGACTCGATGAACGCCATATCAGCCATGTCTGTCTTCTTAGATTTCTCGCTGTTTCCCTTCGGCATCTCCTTCGGCATCTCCTTCGTCTGAGACACATCCGCCATCGGGATGAAAAAAACTTTGTTCTTTTTTTTTTCTGGGCCTATTTATTTGGGCCTTTTTGTGGAGAACAAAATATTACATTGGGCTATACTATGCCCACTAATCTTAAACGAAATATATAATCTCGTCCCTGTTTTATTATGGACTTGCATTTTAAATATTTTCCTACATTCTGTCAACTCTTTTTCTGAAATTCTTTTATAATCTTTTGATTTATTTGACGCATATTTATTTCAGACATTTATATGATTCAATGGTTGATAAAGCTTATTTATTTTTCAAAATTTTAAGTGGTTTCAATAAATTATCATGATTCGGAAGTGAAAAGAGATTCTCTTTAAATTTCTAATGGTCATCGTTTGTTGTCTATAGTTAAGCATAAAGAAATTAAATGAATCATTTAAAAAATTAATTGAATAATATGATGGAACCTTTTTTTTTAATGAGAATACACACATCTATTTCTTAGAGGCTGAGACATGCTTTAAAAACTGATAAAGAAAGAAATAGGACATACTAATTTGTTTCTTTTACATTTCCTTGGACTTTAATTATAAGATAGTTTAAACTTTATACTATACACATATATTACTAAGCTTCTAGCAGTGAACATTGGTATTTTTATAATAATTAAATATTAGTTTTATTTCATTTTTAATGAATAATGTTCTAGAGATAAATTAAAGAAAAAATAATAACTACTCATAATAAAAAAAAATTTATTTTATAAAATAAGAAAAAAATTCCAAAACATCTAAGAATTAAATTTAAAAAGTATTTAAAACTTATAATTAAACTTAAATATGTATTTCAGTATAAGATCTTACAAAAACTAGATTTCTCTTTCTACTTGAAAATATTAAATATTTTTATATACTACTATGGACATAATAAGATCTACTGATTTCTTGCAGATTTAAAATATTAATAAAGATAAGAAAGAAATATATAAATCATTACAATTTTTTTTGAGAAAACTAGTATCGGTTGCAGACAAATAAAAAAGGGAGAAAATTAGTACTGGTAATTTGTGACGAAATCCTTTTTCAATACTATTTGTGGTTAGTTAAGATAGAAAACTATAAAAGGTTTCAGATTTTCAATGGAATTATTTTATATAAATAAAATTTCTTATATTTAGGAAAGGAAAAAAATCTTAATTAAGACACAGTAAAATTATACTTTTAGAAAATAAATGCTACAATAAAAAATCAAATTAATTCATAATCTAGTTTTGGCGACCATGAACGTATATTATATTTCCTCGGACATACGAATTTGTTATGAACATTATTTTGGTAAAGTATCTATATTATATAACACAAACATATGACATCTTTAAACAGGTAGATACTATATATATTGAAAAGTTCTCAGATACAACCAATACATGGTGACCAAACAAAGTACAGAATATCCAACACTTAAGAAATATATTACACAACTAAAAACATACTTCTATATTTTTCTTATATCATATATATTTGCTTAGAAAATCAGTATTGATTTCCGGTTTTATTTCTATCACATCGCCTTGAGAACATCTTGGAGAACCCTTTTTAGTTCATGTCATTGTTGAACAGAGAGTCCATGAAGTCATACTCATCAGCCAAGTCCTAAATAAGAAAAAATTAATCAATTTTAATATTTTTAGATGACTGATAAACTTCAATGTAACTTATAGACAAATAACTTTTTTGGCCTTTGTATACGTTATTTACCTGCGGATCCAATAACGACCAATCGATAAAATCCGGGACATCTTGTTCCTAACAAATAAAGTCCCGGTTTTAGAGTATATTGAAAACAAATCATTTCGTTGATATTAAGTATCATAGTTACATGAAAATATTTTAGAATTGATGATAATTAGATGTACCTGATCATGGTTAGGGTTCATGTTGAGAATTGGAGAATTCGTCTCCGTAGGAGCAGAAATGTTTGGTGTTTCTCTACTAGAATGACCCTTCACAACAAAGTCATATATACAAGTCTGTAAGACATATTATTCGAAAGTATTCACTCCATATATATATATATATATATTGAACAGGTTCTAGAAACAATGGCTATATCTAATATAAGAGTAGCATAAATTTACTAAATTTCTAACACTAACAAATCTAGTTAGAAATTTTCCTTGATGGATTCTTAAATATATATGATAATATATAATCTTTCGTAGGACGTTTATTCACACTCAATCTTGTGATTGCTAAAATATCCTAATAATATGAAGTACCTGGTTTATGTTCACAAAGGTTCCGTCACCATTTTCTTCAAGCGAGAAGATCTGATTCAATTCAGTTGGAAAATTTGCAGGGAGTTCAAATTTGGTGGTGGAATCTGCTTCTTCCTGTGGCTGCTCGCATCACATTTGAAATAACAAAATCTCACAACATATACTTCATGTGTATACATTAATGAAAAACTAGGATATTGAAGACATATATACCTTGTTGTGATTGACTGGAAAGTTACTTAGATCGCAAGGAAGCTCATTAGTATTGCCGAGAGCATCAGATAAGTTGAGATTCTCCAGTTGAGGAATTTCAAGATTTTGATGTGTAGTTGCATTGGCATGTGGCTGAGGATTATTGGCAGTGTTCTCATTGTTTAAGAGCAATTGCATCCCATACAATAAGGAGCTACCTCCTGTTTGATTAGGAGTTGAACTTCCATAGTTGTTCAGACCTGGATTAGGAGTTACACTTCCATAAGTGTTCAGTCCTGGTTGATTAGAAGTTAAACCTCCATAGCTGCTTATTTCTGGTTGGTTAGAAGTTAAACTTCCATGGCTTCTCATTCCATGTTGATTAGGAGCCAAACTTCCATGGCTGCTCGATCCTGGTTGATTAGGAGTTAAACTTCCATGGCTGCTCAATCCTGGTTGATTAGGAGTTAAACTTCCATGGCTGCTAGTCCTTGGTTGAATAGAAGTTAAACTCCCATGGCTGCTCATTCCTGGTTGATTAGGAGATAGACTTCCATAGCTGCTCATTGTGTTATTGTTGAAAGTATTACCATTAATAGCCGACAGTCCATGTTGTCCAAACCCAAGAACTTGAGATGTTTGGCCTGTTTTGTTCGCCATCACGATTGGTTCAAGAAAGCTTCCTCTTCCTTCGTTCTGAGATGGTTGGACTGAGATATTGAGGTTGCTTTTGATGGGCATGGCCAAGTTTGATCCAATACGGTGCGGCTCGTAGGTGGATGACCGGTTCATGTAGCTGTAAGGCATCTGGTTGAAGCGGACGGGCTCACGTGTGTTGGATAAGAGTCTAGACTGTCCAAGACCATGTCCGGTTTTGGAATAGAATGATCTATTGTTAAGACTCGTGTCGTACCAAGAGGTAATAGAGGGTGTGTAATTGTTGTAGTACGGCTCTCTGAAGTGAGCATATGGATAAATCGAGTCTGTGCTTCTACCCGAGATCATGCTTGAATAGCACATTCCTTGTTCCGCCACTTTCCTCAAGAACTGTCGATATTTCTGCCAAGCAAACCATTTTCAGTTAATAAAAAAAAAAAGGTAGAATGATTCATAATCTATGGTTTGATGAATAGTTTTAGACGTAAAGGTAAATTAAGCAAAAACATTTTTGGATAGATAAATGATCAAACCTGTAAATGGCTGGCTACGTTCTCTCTTGTCAAGTAATCAACGTTCATGAACTCTAAGATTTTCTTTGGCACAGCCTCTTTAGGATATTCAAGTGTAGTAAACAAACACAGAACACTGGTTAGTATGTATATAAATAAGTTTGAAATTGTAAGAACATAAACCGCATAACGTATTATATATATCAAAAAGTCTATTATCAAAACACTTACTGTCAAGACCGATATGTCGGATAGCTTGTAAGAAAAGGTCTTGGAGATAATCCGACCACGTAATCTTACTCTTCTTGGAGGGCTGCGACAGAGACGCAACATTATCACCAGAACCACCGTTTGATTTTCGTTTACGATTTTTTCGTGAACCGTCGGTACTAACGCAACTTCCATTTGAACTGCTCGCGGTAATTGAATCCGATCTAGGTGAGAACTTCTTCTTCTTCTTGGTCTTCAAGACATTAGCTTGTTCAGGAAGCAACTGGATTTGCTGAGGGATACTAACATCTGTGTCCTTGTGGTTCTGCTCCGTCCGTGATATGGACTTACCATTCCTCTTATAAGTTAAAGCAAGTTGGTAAATCTTGGTTAAGTCAGTTGCTTTGATGGGTTTTGGAATGAAACACATCGCTCCACAAGTTAAACTCTCCTCTTCTTTGTTGGTGTCCGATGACATAACTTTATATTTAAGAAGAAAAACAAATCAGTTATAGCTTAAATTATAGCAAAAAATATCATATATTATGGAAGTTGTAAAAGAAAAAGAAATTTTATTTTACCTATGACCGGGAAATTGCCAAATTCTTGAGTGATCTGTGTTTTGAGTTGTAGTCCGTTCATGCCAGGCATGTAATAATCTGTGACGATAAGATCGATATTGTTTCTTTGGATTTTAAGAGTAGACAATGCTTCTGTCGAGTCTTTTACAGCTATAACCGTGATCTCCATGATGGATGGATCTATAAAGCCATTTAACCAAAAATAAAATGTAATGTGAAAAATATTGCAAGTACGAAAGATTATACTTTAACCTTTTATATAAAAAAGAAGAAATGAGGCAAATTGGAGGCCTAATTATATATTCTACACTTAAGTCATGAAATACTTCACAAAATTAGAGAATGTTCATAGTATCAGCCAAGCATATTCTTCAAAATCACAACATTTTCACTGGAATGGCTATCAACCAAACTATTAGTTTCAAAATCAACAAAATAAGAATAACCCAATTGAGAGTTTAGATGTGTGCATGTAACTAAAATTCAAATCCGGATGATTTAGAAAGATTTGTTAAAAAAATTTCAACAAAATACAACTTTTGCAAGGGATAAAATATTACAATCTTTTCAGTCAGCTAATAGTTTCTCCTGCTCAAAACTATAGACAAACAAATCTCGATGAAATTACGAAGAAATCAATAACTTATTGTATTTGATATTCAGATTTTACCTCTGTATTTGGATTTTTCAAGCATGCGTGACATAATTTGAAGGAAAACAGGATCATCGTCCACAACCATAACATTGATTCTCAAGACGGAGCTTTGGTTGTAGAAAGATTGAGCAAAAGCCATTCTGCTAGTCTTTGTACAAATTCTTTTTTGTTTTTTCAAGTCTGTATAAACTATTTAGGCTACAGAAAGCTCAATATTTAAAGGTGTAAAAAGTAGACACGCAATTAGAACATTTGGCAGTGTTGTAGTGGTGCTTATGTAAGTTTATTGTAGAAAGAAATAATAATCATATAAGATAAATGCATCTTAATTTTTCTTTACTTTTTTTTAGTGATTATATTGATAAGTAAGAAAAGTTGAGAAGATTTAGAAAAAAGAGATACAACAAAAAAATACCATTGCTGGGAAATTCCGTGGGCTAATTTATGTAATAAATCTAGACAAAAGTAAGCAAAAATAAATGCTATTTACCAATAGATTTCGTTTAATTTATATGAAAATATTTGGTTTTTTTTGTGATCTTTTGTTTCTGATTTAGGATTGATTTTCCAATAGATTTCTTACATCTGTGTTGCATTTTGCTTTAAAAGGAAAATACTATAATATATTGTAAAATGAAAACAAAATCTTATTCCGATTAACTTTGATCTGTAAAATATATTGTTTTGATGTAATTAGTTTCATTTTATCCAAACTACATAATCTTAAACTATACAAAAACGAATTTTTTATTGATTAATGAAACTTAAAAACTTAGGGTTTTGACCTACAAATGAGGAATTGTGAAAACCTATAACTGTAAAGTGCTCCATACTGGTTTCATGAAATTGGTGGAAAGGAGGTGATACTCTCATGATGACTTATACAGTACCAAAAATCTTACATTGCTTGATTGTGATCCTGTTTGTGAAACCAAAAGAAGCATAGTTCTGATTTAATTAACAATTATTAATTAAGTTGTATCACGAAATGAAGAAAGCAATTGATTTAATGTTCTAATTTATGATCTGCACATCTACATAATGCTGCTAAAATTATAAGATTTTGATATACAATTTTACTTTTTTCAAGTTTCCAGATTTTTCAATAGAGTTTTATATACAAAAAGATTTTTTAAAAAAAAATAAATAAATGAACCCATAAATAAAAATTTATACTAATTCTTACAATTTTAAAAAGTATAAGTATTTTTGTTATTTAGTATGCACACACAGTAATTTTTTTTCTTTTTTTACAGCAAAACGAATTATATACACGGTAACCATATTATATGAAAACTTTTCAGTATATCTACATACTTTATTTTTAAAAAAACATCAGCATCAAAATATATAACACTTTTTATTATTAAGTTCATAAAATATATTAGTAATGCCATATATGAAAATATTATATATAAAATATAAGTTAATTTTTTTTATTCAATCTTTCAATTTTGTTATATAATATAAAAGATTAAACGTGTCAAAATCATATAATATACTATAGTATTATGTTAAATTTAAAATATTTTAATCATTAAAAACAATAAAACAGTTATCATTAATATTTTTATTGCAATTTAGATACAATTGTATTGTAGTACATGATATAACGATTACAACGGTAATTTAATCGTTTGATATAACAAATAAAACCAAAATAAATAAAAAATAATCTTTTTTTGTTAACTAGAGAAAACAAATAAATAAATAAAAAATATTAATAATATTATGAATCATTTACAATTTATCATTTTTTCCTCTCTATCAAATTAAAAAAAAGTTATAACTAAAACTTGTTTTAACCTATTAAGTCAGTTATTAAACAATTTGTTAATTTAAAATTGAGATTTATTATCATTAAATAATTACATCAATAAAAATAGTTAACTAATTTCGACTAAGAAATTAAAACAATATATCATGATGAACTATTTTAAAAATCTATAATGCTCAAATATCATGATAATAACAATTTATATTGTATATTATAATCTAGTAGTGATAGTATAATTTTTAACCATTTATTTTAAAGAGTTAGATAATTATTAATTTTTCCTTAATCTTTTTCCTTACATGTATAAAATAGAGTGTTGCTATCAATTAATTCTCAAAATTTCTTTAGTAATCAAAAATTTATCAGCAATAATGCTTATTTTTCTGTTAGTGATATGTGTGTATTTGTCTGTAATCAAAAGTCAAAATCTAGTCAGTTTTTAACATTTACTTATTAAAATGTTGTCCGTTTAGTGTGAACGTAGGTAAAAAAGTGTCCGTTAAGGAAAGTCTATATAAGTGATGAGAATCTAATATTACATTAACACGTTACAAGAATGTAACAAATAGGTAGTGCATGCAGGACATTAGATTTGCAGTTAAATAGCTATTAATGTTTTTTCTACTTAAATTAGGCTTTGGTGCTTTTGTGATTAATTAAAGGAAAACTAAAGTGGTTTGTAATTAATAAAAAGTGAAGCATGTAATAAAAATGGTTTTCCTTCTAGCAAAAAAAAATTAATGGTTTTTCAATTAAGAAAAAAATCAAATTAAATTAATTTTCTTATAAATTAATAATATTGGTATTTTGATATATTGTTAATTTATATAGTTATTAATTTTTTGTTAACAGTTATTAATTTATTTAATAATTATTATTTTTACCCCAAAAAACTTGATAATCTTCTAAAATATTATTTTATGGAAACAATAAGTTTCATATAGATGTATTATTTTTTAACATTGTACAAACTAGGAAAAAAAAAATAAGATTTTATGCCATAAATAGTGGATGTCCCCTATAATGGCTTCCACCACTACTACTATATATCATTAGCTAAATCTAAAATTCTTTTTTTTTTAACAAAAAATCTAATATTCCTAGGCGAAAAAGAAAAGAAAAAACTAAATATATGCATATAATATTGTTAACAAATAAACTCATCAAGAGATTTTGTAACTAACTAAAATATGTAAAATGAGATCAAAATTTTATATTTAGGATACTACTGTATCTGGTAGTACGACGATTTTGATAAAGAAAAAATAACAAAAAAAAAATTAATTTTGGACAAATTCAGTTATGAATTATAAAGGATTAATTATTTATTAGATTAAAAGTATAGATATTAATTAACTATAGTATATAGATAATGAATAAAAAGTTATTTTCACTTTTTTGTAGAAAATGAATGATAGTAATTTCAATATATATTTAAAGAAGTATGTATTAAATGGACAAAAATATGAATTTCCGCAGATGTCTGAATTAATTCTGCTGCTAAATAATACATTACACGATATTCGGGTATCCAAAAGATTTGAATAAAAGAGATTATCAAAATTGGCCCGTATACATTGGGCCTAAATAATTAAACGAAGCCTTAAATTAGTGGGCTATGTAGCCTATGTATCTCACAGCTACTATTATGAAAAAGTTATATCGGTTTTTTTTCTTCTTGTTTGTGAAAAAAAAAAACTATATATTTGACATCTGAACGTCGGCGACGTTACGTCGCCATAATATTAAAAAATGCAAAACACCACTGATTATTGTTTTTCAACCCTCTAGAAAAAATCAACCTACCATACATTGTTGACAGTTGACAATAGTTTCTTTAGTCGGTATAGTAAGGTACTTAGCTAAATATGGAAAATGAATGTGTTTGTTATACCTGTAAAACTCTATACATATATATATATATATATAATATTGCGCTGAAGATATCATAACGTTAATGTAGCTAAACATATATTGTTTGGTTTTACAGAATGACGATGGCTCACTATTTCAAATCACGAAGTTTGGTTAGTGGATACTTCGATATGGTGCATGGGTTAAACAACAACAAAAAGTTGTGCAGGGATTCACTTTTACTTATCACTATTCACTAAACAATGAAACTCGACAGTTTAAAAGCTATTAATATTATCCATCAATTTCACTAATACATTTCTTTCCAACCGAAATGCTTGTCGGATTATTGTGGGTCAACAGCAATTTCACTAAGAAATAACCAAAAACCACTGGTTGATTAGACGAGACAGATTCTGGACGGCTTTCAAATTTAGGGTTATAAAATCTCTCAGTAATGTCACTTTCCTTAGAAAGTGGCGCTATCCACTTGTAAAATCCGACATTACACTACACACTGTATTGTATAGTTCATTGGTACGAAGAACAATGCTATTAGGTCAAATTTAGATGAACACTTTTGTAATAAAGTGACATAAGTGGATCAAAAAGGACTTGTGCAAGTGCTAATTAAAGGAAGAAGTCAAGACACTCCATCATTTTTTAGATACCCATAGTGACCTTTTATTACACGCACCTTCCAAAAGTTATGAATAAATAGCATCTTTTATTATAATTTGTTGGGTAAAATGTAGGCAAACTGGCTTGGCCGTCCTTTCAAAAATGGAGTGCTGCAGTGAGAAGATTGGATATGTTTCATCTTTTCCGTGTCTCAACATGCATACAAAGATTCACTAATATATATATATATATATATATATGCGTGCCTTTGTAGTTTTATTTCTATTTTCTTATACATTTTATCTTTTATTTCTTTCGTCCAAAATAAAATTAAAGAAATATTATTTTGGTAAAGTAGCGTTCAATTTCCTGCAAATTTAAACATTAGGTCGCGAAGACTCCTTGGCCAGTGGCTTGTAGCTCTGTTTACGGACCCGGCAAATGGCAATTTGGCACCCCAAGGAGTTCGCGTGTTCGACTCTCATAGTCTCATATGGTTCCAAATATGTAGTTTAGACAGTGCATGTTCTCTCAATCACATAAAACTCTTGATGTTTCTTGTTTTATTTATTTTTTGTCGCATAAATGATTTTCTTTCGTTTATATGATGAAATTGTTTTCTAGCGATTGACGCGCTATACAAAGCTACAACATATGAACTAATGTCAATTTTTATTTTATATCAATTATCGAATGATGTCTATTTTCACAAACGTTAATAGTAATATAGCGATTCATAGTTTATTATTTATGAAAAACAATTTTCCTCGGTTGTGCTATACGTAAAATAGACTTTAGCCATCGCTTGTCAGTTTTGAAGTAAATTGGGCTGGGATGATCTATTTTTATATGGTTTAGAGTTATATATTTTAGCTTAAACTTTAAAG